AAATGAATTTAATTAAATAATTAATAAATTAATAAATTAATTTTTATTTTTTAATATAAATTTATGACCACACAATACATATTTTTTATCTTGATTGTATAATAAAATATAACCCTCTCATATTCCTCACCCACCCCATCCATATATTTTGAAATTTAAATTTAAAATTTTTTATTTTTAATAAAAAAATTATTATTAAGTTACTTAAATTTGTTAGTGACCAAATAATATATTTATTAAATCATAATATTACTTATAACATAAAAAGTAAAATTTAGATGCACTAGAGTCTCACGTGTTAATAATTATAAATCAAATTTAAAATGTATCGTCCAACTAACAACTAAGGTTGGAATAATGGAATCGCCGCTCCCAAATGTAAACTCATTAAAAAAAAAAAAAAAAGAGAAAAGTAAAATTTAGATAAACCTTTATATACTCTGTCTTTTTTTACAAAATAAAATACTTTATTGTTTAGTTGTTCTAACCATAGCTGCTTTAATATTTTATGTCTAGAAATGAGCCTTAATGGAAACGAAAACAAGACAGTAATCCCCTGTTTTTATAATCCTATAGCGGAGTGACCGAGGTCCACTCCCTCTCAATGTTATTCCTCCACCCATGAATTTTAGACTAATCAAAATCATAACTTTATGCCACTGACAATTAAAAAACGCTATACCTTTCCCACACACAATTACCATTCTCTTTTCATCTTTTAATAACAATCAGCCCATTGTATGTGAAACCGCTAATTCTTTTCCTTTTTTCCGATAACCAAGAACCTTTCTGGAAACCTACCATAAATCAGTTCCATTTCCTGTTAGTAATCACTCAATTCTTCAAAGTTCAGTATTTTGTTTGTTGTTTACTTCAACTTTGCTTACTGCATGGAGTCTGTGAATCAAACAGTTTCAGAGCTTCACCACCCCACCAAGCCACCGTCTGTGGTCCCTGTGGGGACCTGCAGTGGCACCCTGGGGAGCCACCTGGCACGGCGGCTAGTGGAGATCGGTGTCAAGGACGTCTTCTCTGTTCCTGGTGACTTCAACTTGACCCTCTTGGACCACCTCATTGCAGAGCCGGAGTTGAACCTCATCGGCTGCTGCAACGAGCTCAACGCTGGGTATGCAGCTGATGGGTATGCCCGTGCATGTGGCGTGGGGGCCTGCGTGGTGACTTTTACTGTTGGTGGGCTCAGTGTGCTAAATGCCATTGCCGGTGCTTACAGTGAGAATCTGCCGGTGATTTGCATTGTTGGTGGGCCTAATTCCAACGATTATGGAACCAACAGGATCTTGCATCACACCATTGGGTTGCCTGATTTTACCCAGGAATTAAGGTGTTTTCAGACGATTACCTGTTTTCAAGTAAGTTCATGCCTAGGTGAAGCTTTAGAATATGTGATTGTTTCAAATTTCAATGTCTAATTTTTTTTTTTTTTTTCACATGATGCGTTGGTCAGGCAGTGGTGAATCATTTGGATGATGCGCATGAGCTTATAGATACAGCGATTTCGACTGCTTTGAAGGAGAGCAAGCCAGTTTATATTAGTATAAGCTGTAATTTGCCTGGGATTCCTCATCCAACGTTTGCCAGAGAGCCAGTACCCTTCTTTCTTGATCCAAAGTATGGGTTTCCTCTTGTCTCTTGTTATTCATTTTATTTTGTTCATTGCGTCACCCCCTGTTTCTCTCAATTCGTGATTTTAATGCTTTTAGTTGCCAATACATGGTAAAGTGGGGCTAAATTATAGGCTTAAATTCGAGTCCATCTGTGGATTTTTCAGGTATTTAGTTACTTTTCATTATTGTAAGTACAAGTGGCATATTGGTAGGAGTAATTTTCTTTTGATTCTAAATGAATATATTTGGGGAAAAGCTTGTAATAGATATAATGAATATAGAGAAGGCTTAAACAACTTATTGGGTTTTGTGCTATTCCATATCGAAGGACATACTACTAGTAGTGAAAAGACTGAGTGTGTGATCTTTGTTTATAACATTCTACTCCCTTAGTTGGAATCAATAGCCTAATGTGCACTGCAGAGTTGGTAATTGGATTTGTTCTTGCTCTAGCCATTTTGATTTTGATGTTAACTATAAGATCAGAAGAATTCACAGGTCTTGTTTTTTCAAATTAGATGCTGCTTACATGTATTTAATTGTAGTTGCAAGTGTAGAGCATTAGATAGTAAGTAGCTAATGAAATTTGAATAAAAGTTGTCAGGCTACTTTTGAAATCCTTGAAAAGAGCTTCATTTTCTGTTGAGAACATTTTTCATAACTGTCTCAGCTAGGTATTTGTTCTGGATATGAATAGAACTGATATTTGTGCTCTTGGTCTCTTGTCCTCCCAGTGATTTAAAATGTTAAAACTCAGACATTTTTCATAACTGTCTCAGTTTGCATTTGATCTTCCCTCTTCTCAACCAGGGCAAAAGTTTCTATTTAGTGTAGGAGATATGCTTTTCAGTGAATTTATTTTCATGCTTTACTTTTTATGCAGGGTAAGCAATCAATTGGGATTGGAGGCAGCCGTGGAAGCTACTGCTAATTTTCTCAATAAAGCTGTGAAGCCTGTCCTTGTGGGTGGGCCCAAGTTAAGGGTTTCAAAGGCACAGAAAGCCTTTGTGGAACTTGCCAATGCCAGTGGATATCCAATAGCTGTGATGCCCTCAGGCAAGGGATTGGTGCCAGAACATCATCCTCACTTCATTGGAACATACTGGGGTGCTGTCAGCACCAGTTATTGTGGGGAGATAGTGGAATCTGCTGATGCCTATGTTTTTGTTGGTCCAATCTATAACGATTACAGTTCTGTTGGATACTCCTTGCTGATTAAGAAGGAGAAAGCAATTGTAGTTCAGCCTAATCGCGTAACTATTGGCAATGGTCCTTCCTTTGGATGGGTTTTCATGGCTGAATTTTTGACTGCATTAGCTAAGAAATTGAAAAGAAACAGCACTGCCATGGAGAACTACCACAGGATCTTTGTCCCTCTGGGCATCCCTCTGGAACTTGAGAAAAATGAGCCTTTAAGAGTCAATGTTCTATTTAAGCATATACAGGTAGGCCCCAAAGACATGAAGTTAAAATTATGGAACTTATTTTCTCCTGATTTATGCTCTTTTTTAGTATGATTTCATGTATGTACTTATACGTTCTTATTTTTTCCATGGTTAACCTTACTGAACAGGAAATGTTGAGCGAAGACACTGCAGTAATTGCTGAAACTGGGGACTCATGGTTCAACTGTCAGAAGCTCCGCCTTCCAGAGAACTGTGGGTAAGCCCAGATGTTTCTAAATCATAATAATTAAAACTTCTTTGGATTTGAATGTCTGTGTGACTGTTATCCTTGTTGGTAATCAGCTAAGATTAGTTCATTATCAATTACTTTCCAGATATGAATTCCAGATGCAATATGGATCCATTGGCTGGTCAGTTGGCGCCACCCTTGGATATGCTCAAGCTGCTAAAGACAAGCGTGTGATTGCTTGCATCGGTGATGGGAGCTTCCAGGTATGGTAGATAATTTAGATCAGTTGAATCCATTCTTTTAGAATAACAACAATATTATGGTATAAAACAAAAGTGAGCTGCACATTTTGCCTATAAACTTATCTTGTGACGTCAAAACTAAACCGGTGTCAGCATTTGCTTCTCCTTATATGTATATGCATGGGGATTGAACAAACTCTAATGCTTTTCATTGTATAAAGTCATGGAATGCAGTTACTAAAAGGGTTTGCATTCTTGGCTAATCAGGTGACCGCTCAAGATATTTCAACAATGATTTGTTGTGGCCAAAGAACCATAATATTCCTTATCAATAATGGAGGCTATACCATTGAAGTAGAGATTCATGATGGGCCGTACAATGTCATCAAGAATTGGAACTACACCGGCCTTGTTGATGCCATCCATAATGGTGAAGGCCAATGCTGGACTGCCAAGGTTAGAATCTTAGCGTCAATTACAGGAACTAACAAGTTATAGACGTTCATAATTGTCATTCTTAACAACTAATATCGGTTTGGAATGTGTGGACTTTTATCATTTTTGCTGTGAACCATAGGTACGCACCGAGGATGAATTGATAGAGGCAATTGCTAAGGCAACAGGAGCAGAAAAGGATTCATTGTGTTTCATTGAAGTTATAGTGCACAAGGATGACACCAGCAAGGAGCTGCTCGAATGGGGATCCCGAGTTTCTGCCGCTAACAGCCGGCGTCCAAACCCTCAGTAGTGCTGTTGACTGACGCCTCAATCAGCATTTGGGAGAAGGGAGACTTGACATGCATATCATAATATTGCGAAAAATAAGACGTAGGATATATTTGCTTTTAATTGCTCGGCTGAGGTACTAGTACTGGAATCCTGTTTTTGTAAGGTTCAACGTGTGTACGTGTGGGTGTGTGTGTGTGTGTGTGTGTGGGTGTGTGTGTGTTTTTTTTTTTGAACAGTGATCAAACCCTATGGCTGGGATTGAGAACAGAGGCAACTTTTTGACCAAACTACATGATGATGAAACCTAATGTTGGATAACCCCTTCGTTTTCTGTTTTTTTGTTTAGTAGTCATGATGTACTTGAGAAAGCTTGTGTATATTTCAAGGCTAATTTGTTTTCGGTATGGCTAAAGGTAGGTTATCTATTCTAAAAGTGGGGAATTCATAAAAAATTGAAAAATGATTTATAAATATTTTTTTAATACATTTTTTAATTCATATATCAATTTAGTTA